GAAAGGTCTGGATTGCAGGCAGGCCAATTAAGCACCCGGATTCTTCTACTATGAAGCCATAGTGTTGCCATAGATGAAGTATGTGGTTTTGCATTGTCCTGTTGAAATATGCAAGGCCTTAACTGAAAAGGACATCATCTGGATTTGAGCATATGCTAGATAGATCTTTCAGCGTTGATGGTGCCTTTCCAGATGTGGAAGCTGCCTGTTACATATGCACTATTGTACCCCATACCTTCAAAGATGCCGTCTTTTGAACTGAGCGCTGGTAACAAGCCTAAAGGTCCCTCTGTTCTTTAGTCTGGAGGATGCAGCACCCTTGGTTACCAAAAATATTGTCAAACTTCAATTCTTCTGACCGCAGAACAGGTTTTCACTTTGCAACAGAGCGTTTTAAATGACCTTTGGCTCAGGGAAGATGGCTGTATTTCTGGATAATGTTCAGATATGACGTCTATTCATGTTAGAGCTTTAACTTGCATTTTTGGATTGCATGGCGAACTGTGTTAACAGAAATATTCTTGAGCTCATGCAGTGATGTCCATCACAGAATCATGCCTGCTTTTAATTTTGTCCTTATCCTTTGAGCGCAGAGATTTTTCCACAATCTTTAGCTGATATTATGTACAGTACACGGTGATATATTTAAAGTCTTTACAATTTTACATTTAGTAACATTATTCTGAAATCATTTGACAATTTTTAGGAGCCGATTTTCACAGACTGGTGAATCTCTAACCATCTTTACTTCTGAGACATACTGACTCTCCAAGATGCTCTTTTTATACCCAATTTACTTTTATGGTGTTCACTGTTCCCACAGAAAGATTCGTCTCTTGCGCAATTTCATGGTAGGTTATGCTTCGATTATCCAGGATCAGGCATTCCATGCACTGAATGTTCACAGGAATGACTGGGCTGGGAACCACCACAGCAGGGATCATCACTGCTGGACGTACGGGCATCTTTAAAATGTTTACACCAATAAAACGTCTTACTGCTGCTGAGCATCTCATCACCATACTGAGCTTGAAGTCTTCTGTAGATATCCATGGGTTCTACACCTTCATTCACAACTTCATCATCACACACTGTACCATGCACACACTAACACTGTTGTCTGCCATCTTGATTAAAGGTCTTTGGACTGGCCTGCTACATGTGTGCTGCCCATCAGTAATAGGACACACTTGCCACTTACTATTGCATGTAGTACCACCATGCTTGCATCCTTTTTATATCTGTAAAATTAAAAGTCCTGGTTTGACTTGAATGCCCCTTGTAATTGTATGAAAAAAATATCTTGTTCTCTTTGTATTGCTTCCTTTGTGGGAAATCACTGGTGTTCCCATAAGTCCCTTTGCTTTTCAATTAAAAAAAATGATCATGCTAGGCATGAGAGCACAGCAGGGCCAGCTCTCTAGCTGAGCTGGGAACAGAACTTGCTTTCCCAATAATCAGACTTTTGCTGACAAACCCCCACCAGCTTGCACAGCCACTCACTGGGAAGATGAATGTAATGAGGTTTCTCCTCCCCAGCTCCTTATGCAGCTAAGAACAGAGGGTGTGCAATCACTTATAAAAATAAAAAAAAAGGGTAGAAAAAAAAAAAGAAAATATTAATATGTATACACAAATGGTTTGCCTTTTATTTCTATTTTCAGCTGAAACAATTGAATACTGTCCGTGATACTTTCTATTTGCACTAACACAATTTTCAGGAAAAGCTTTCAGGGTACTGCTTGGACCTTGAAGGGGATGTACCCCCAAAAGCTTGTCCTGAAAATTGTATGTTAGTGCAAATAAAAAGTATCGCGGACAGTACTCAATTGTACTAATATGGCTACAATCACCTATTTTCAGCTGAATAGGTTGTTTTTACAAGTTGTGGGTTCACATGTGTTAACTTACAATTTGTTGATATAAAATAAAAGGGAGAGAAATGGAGGGCAAAGTTCAAAATGTGATTGTAGGATGTGAGGTTCAGAACTGTGAAACCCTATACTTCAGCTATTCCTATATATTTTTTTTATTATTGTGTCCATATATCCCTTCCTTGCTCTGATTACTTGTGCCTTTGGGAAAGTTTTTGATGTAAAATAAGTTTTTAGAGACACAGCACCTCTCCATTATAAGACTCATTACATGTGTTTTAGCAGTGAATGTATCCACTGCAATCCCTTCACCATGCATAGACACCTCCATTTCTGGAGACATTTTGGTCATTGTATTCATTTTTGCCTGATTCCAGACTGGCATTACCACTATTGTATGTTTTTCAGTGCTTTCGCCTAGTGGCATGCATCAAGTACTCTGCATCCCATGGATTGACAATGGAGTATGACAAAACAAGGAGTATGGTAAAATTATATAAACTAAGCTTTATTAATTTTGCAACAATATACATATTTTCTCTTTTAGATTGTGACTACACATTTGTCCATAAATATGCACTTTAGATGACAAAAACATTGTACATTTTGGGATATTCATCCCCTGAAGGTCAGTACAAGAGAAAGAGTAAACCAAAAAAGTTGTATAATATAAACTAGTTTATACATGGGTCATGTGATATGTTCAGGTCCTAGGTTTCTCTTTAAGGTAGTCTGAATCTTTGCAGATTAGTAGATTTTTGTAACCATGCATTCAGTGCACGTGCTAATCTGCATGACCACCTTTTTAATTTGGGAAATTAGTGTGATCTAATAAAATTGAGTGATTAACACGACAAAAAAAAGTTTAACATTTTGCAAATCTCATAAAAGTGTAGGTCAAAATGTATTCTGCTACATTTCTTTACTAAAAAAAACTCAAATCAATGTATAATAGTGTGGAGAAGCTATAGAGTCTACAAACTAAATGTTTATTGGTGACTGATACTTCACGGTCAAGCACTTGCAGATACCCATACTTTGCATGTGAATAGCATGCGATTTGTCCCCACTGCTCCTGTGTAGACCCAGGCTCCTCATAGCCAGAGTTCATTCAGGAGCAGTGTGAAATCTCCCTGCAGGCATCCCATGCCAAGTCTCAGTGGTAAGGAGTGATGCAGCAATGAGTTTGGGATAGAGGGCTTTTGATTGGTTAGCAGCACTGTCACAAGGACAGTGCTCACTAGATGCCATCTAGGCTGAACTGTCATTGCTGTAAGGAGACTAGAGAAAGCCACTTCACGGATCTGGGGATTTGAAATATCAGCAGCTCTCTCCTTGCAAAGACAGTATTGGCTAGATGGCATCAGATTGATCCAACACCAAAGTAACCAAAAAGTATTAAGCGGCATGGTGAGTCTTTTGAAGACTTCAAAAGTTTTTGCCACAAGTTTTGTAAAATGCAAATCTTTACTTGCACACTAAGAACTTGGAATTTCACCTCAAAAATGTTCTGCTTTTGCTCCCAAGTATGGGGAAGCCGTGAGACTTTCAAAACTGAAATTATGTTCTGGACTCCCATTCCTATAAGCCAACAAGTGTAGCCTACTGGTATATAGCTGCGCCAAAAGGAAGCCACGTTCACTGGCCAGGAAGTATGGGGGGGGGGGGGGGGGGGGGGGGGGAAAAAAAAAAAAAAAAAAACACCCCACGTGTTAATGTGGTTCTACAAGTGCAGTTGTCTGCAGAGAATGGCCAAGACTGTTGTCTCTGAAACAGTTAGGATGTGCAGATTGATCAGTTCAGGCAGTGACATGGTCAGTAAAACCAGAAACTCCCCCCCCCCCAATCAAGCTGCTATCTCTGTCCAGGCTTTGGCCCTGCACAAATGTCAGATGGGGGAGTGTGGTAACTGTCTGGAGCCATTGTGCCCCAATAGACATGAATGGATCTGCATGGAACATCTATGTTTACCCTTCTGGGGCTGCACATTGTGTACCTTGAGCAAGGGTTTTGTACAAATTAGGTCATAGTGACACTGGGTGACTGCAATGGTGTGGCGAATGTAAATGCTCATTTATATTTGGTTGAGCAGCATTTTCAACCACTCATGAATGAGCTGCTCCCATTTTAGTTGGAAAATCTGTGGCTGTACACGTCAGGAACTAAACACTCTAGATGCCAGCAAGCATTACTACCTGCTAAGCTCAACCCAGTCAAGTGAATAGGGCTGTGCTGAACATGCCCCACAACTAAGTGCAAAGCACTTAGTTGCAGTGTGGTAGTCCTGTATTTGGGGGATTCAAATGGTTTAATGGTCTTAAGAGCAGTTTGGAGACAGATTGCTGTACAGAGAACAAAATGTTGACCCCTGAATTTTTTTTTTACACCATGGTGACATTGTGCTTCAGTGATCAGAGACAGTATGCTGCAATGACCGATAAAACCAGAGCAGTACAGATCAGTGTCACTGTACTTTGCTTCTTCAGTGTGTAGTATGGTACAGTAGCATTAATACACACGAGGCTTCACTTTTAGTTGATGGCAGTGGCCATAATAGGATTAACCTGGCATTAAGCCTTTAAGTGAAGACACTGTCCTATAAGACCTAAAGCACACCCCTCTAACAAGGGTGGCTGTTCTTATGGATACGGTTTCATCTAGTGTAGTAACACTAGAGCTTGGCTTTAAACACTCAGTACTTTTTCCAACTGCACATCTAAAACTAAATATTTAAACCGAAGCCAACAGCAATGCCCCCGTCAGCAGCCCAAACATGTGATATCACCCTTGTAACAAAGCTATCTGCACGATTTTAATACCAAGGCAAGACTACAACAAGTTACTGGGGAAGAACAGCAATTTCCAGTAGTGTCTTAAGTACTGCACCCAGAGTCAACATTCTGGGCATCAGTTACAAAAGCCCATGAAGCCACACAAACTTCAAATTGAGTAAAACAGGTTTTATTTTAATAAAAAAGTAAAAATCACATTTAAAAAAAAAAACAAATTAAAACACTAACAGTCCAGCTTAGATGTGAGGTCACCCAAAATAGTTGTGATTTGTAGCTTGATCAATCTTAATTTTTCAAAATTCTTCTTTCAAAAAAAAAAAGGAGTCCGATTAGGTTAAACTATAGGATAGCTGGCAGCTGTAGCAATTCCACAATGATTCTTCTTGTCTTTGGCCATCAGGATGTATCCTTTGTTTCCCCATTTCTCACCCCAACTAAAAAAAAAAAAAAAAAAAAAAAAAAAAAAAAAGTTTAAAATTACAGATAAGATACAAATGCTTGAAATACCCTCATTTATGCTGCCTGCAACAGCCTAAAGTACCTGAAAAAGCTCAGATAAAGTCCAACCTTCTTGAGTACAAAGGACATAGAAATTCTGTTATCAAAGCACTTTCTGTACCCTCCAAAACAGTTAATCCCAAATACAGCTAATGCAGCCACCTTAAGGCCTATTAGAGCTTAGCTATGATTTATGCAACCCCTTTAAGGGATTGTGCTGTCTGCGCTGCCCAGGTGAGGCATTGCCAAGATTCTTCCAGCAACTGTTCTGCTGTCAGTGTAGCATGGGAAGGAAGTTAGCAGTTCTAACTAGGAGAAAGCTCCTAGTGCCAGCTTTAGCACAGCTTTGTCACAGGTAAGCAACTCTATTAAGAAAGTCAGCACAATTTGTAAGCCCTCATTTTCCCCAACCCGATTAGTTTTGAAAACATACCTGTTTTTCACAATCCAATATTTCTTGCCATCTACATCCTCTCCTTCAAATCCATAGCCAACAGCCAGAACACCATGGTCAAGATCTTTACTGCTGCATTCAGGTTCATAGTAAATGCCTGCAAGTAGTTTTAAGTTAGTATTAAATTTTGACCGCCCCCCCCAAAAAAAACAAAAAAAAAAAACCCACCAGCAATACATACCATCCTGATAGAACTGAAATGACCCATGTGCAGCATCAATGGCTACAGAGATTGGACCAATTGATGCCACAGCTTTCATAAGATCCTTCTCACTCCCAGGTTCAATATCTGTGAAGCCAGTGTCATCAGCAGCCTTGGTGTCTGGATTGTAGTGGCACTCATCTTCATCCTGCAAAATAAATCAGGAAGATTATGCACCTTAAAAAGCCATGAGATCTGTAGGTGGCAGTACTTTGTGGTCATGTATAGACTTGTGTTCAACTACGTAATTCAACAATATATGCATCTGTAGGATTATGCATTGTAACAAGGGAGCCAGCACTTTCCATGCCCCAATAGTTTTGGGGCTCATGGAACTTTTAATGAGGCACTTACATTAAGAATGTCAGAACCCCTAAAATTAGTCTTTGATAATGGGAACAGCAGGTTAATCTATACAGAAGCAATCTTTCAAAGAGGGCTCTTACCTTGGCAGTGTATGGATAGGACTGTTCAGAGTCTATGCCTTTATTTTCAGAAATATATTTAAATGCTCGATCCATCATCCCTCCATTACAACCTTCATTGCCTTCTGGTCTAGAGCAGTCAACAAGATTTTGCTCACTCAGGGACACAAGCTTGCCAGTCTTCTTGAACTCTTGTCCTTCCAAAGCACCAGTTGCACTGAAAGCCCAGCATGAACCACACTGACCCTGAAGAGAAATTAAGGATAAGCAAATTGAGCAAGATAGCTTTCAGCATTCTAGGCCTTTTAAAATTATGCAAAGCACCCTGAAGATCTACTGGGCATTTTATTCCAACATCAGGGGGGAGAACTGAACACTAATGCAGTTTATACCTGATCTTTCACTGGAGTTACATAGCCTTGTGTACGCCAGTCAACGGTTTTTTTGGAGCTTCAAAGTTGTTTGGTGGCAGGAATGTTGATCCTCGTGTCTTGTTTTCATTATGTTTGTATCCATTCAGTAGCTGTTTGAATTCTTCTGTAGTCTAAAATCAAGAGATTTGCTTGAGAATTAAAAAAAATGACACGTCCCATTAAAGTGTAATGTTCAGCATAGAAATCCCTGATCCTTTCAAGTCCCCCTCTGGCTATCCTGTCCTGTCACCCCTGCAAAGTTCCCCAGAACAAGCTGCTTACTACAGCTACACGTGTGCTTCCAAGGCCTGTATTGTGTAAACACAAGTGCAGCTCAGCTTTTCCAACTGCTCACTGGCTGTCATGTAGTGGAAGTCAATGGCGCCCATGCAGTCTTAGCTACTGAGAACAGGGATGCACAAAGGGTGAACTATGCATGTGCAGCTTTGAGTGCATTTAACTCTGAACAGGCAGGCAATTGTTTTATTGACAAGAGACCCATGTCTCTTCGGGGGAAAAAAAAAAAAAAAAAAAAAAAAAAAAAAAAAAAAAAAAAAAAAAAGCTTCCTTCTTGCACTTCTAACTGAAGGCTTTCCTCCAACCATTTTCATAGTAGAAAACACATTGTTGGTCAGGTTTCGTGTACACTTACCATGTCCCCAAAATGGTTCATTCCAAGGGTATAAGTGTGTTTTCCTGCAGAATATGCCATATTGTGTTGCACGATTTTCCTGAAATTGTCCTCAAACACCAATCTCCTCCATGTAGCTTCATCCTAAAAAGAAAAAAAAAAAAAAAAAAAAAAAAAAATAGTTTTAGCCATTTTAGGATACATTCAGCCACCTCACCCAGCATTCAAGCCCGACACCATCTGAAGTTTGTTCCCAGAATGCAGAGCTCTCATCCCATCCTGCAGCTCCAGGAGAGAAGCAAGACTGCAATAACCCTACACAATGTTTTGATGCTAGGTTGGGTTGCCGAAGTGGGTGTTTGATAACCAAACAGGCCTAACTTTGTGAACATGCATTACAGGCTACAATGTTTCAGTGAGAAACAGATGCAAATAGATACACATGTGCTACAAAATGGTACACATCTCCTGGATGTCACTAGAGTGAAAAAAATTATTTTAAAGCAGAAGAGATCAGATTAAGGTAAGGCGTTTGAAAGGGAATACTGGAAGTAAAAGTGGAAAAATTAGAGGTAAAGAGCCAGTGGAATAAGTTACTGTCTACAAGGAGCTGGCTGGAATATGGTTAAAGGACAAGTTCACGTTAGACAGGTTACCCATGTAGGGTGGAACATGTTCCAGCCAACTCTTCAAATTGTGACTGCAGGGGAAGATCCCCTGCCTTCTGTCACAGAGAAAAGTACAGCTGTATGAGGGTACAGGTAGACATCTATACTGACAGTCTGCAGGAGACTGCGACTACACTTGCAATCTGCTGCTATTCACAGGTGCAAGGCTAATGGTTACTGAAAAAAAGGGCACTTTTCTTTTAAGCTTGATCACCACTCTCTTATTCAAGCAAACCCTCATGTGGTGAACTTTACCATGCTGATTGCATTGGAACCACAAGTTATTCTATTTCCATAGATTTTTCACAAGCCAGACCAGACCTAGGGTGGAATGTTTCCACAGGTAGTACAATTTAAACTTAACATAAGGGTTTGTAGAGATATATATACACAGAAATGTAGAGGATTACCTTGATAAAATTCAAATTTATGTAAGGGAGCAATTTAATTACATAAAACTTGTTCAATCTTAAAAAAAACAAAAAAAAAAAAACTTACCTTTACATAATTTTTATTATATGTACCAACAAACAATTCCCATGTTTCATCCAAAGCTGGGTCATGTACAGGAAGAGCAAATACGGATGTTAAACACAGCGAAGCAACTAAGAGTAACATGATTTCTAGCCTGCAGGTACAAAATAATCTATTAGACAGGTGATACAGATAAAAGTCAATCATTCTAACAAGATAAGGACTTGGGTAACGGACCAAAAATTACTTGCTTTTACTCAAAGAGGCACAAAGCTCCAATCACCAAGTTATGCAGTATTTATACCTTTTTACTAATACAATATTTAATGAAATGGCAAAAGCACTAAAAGGCTTGAACAAGGTACACCGCGTAAAAACAGTAGGAAGATCCCAAACCACCAGCATGTGCAACACCAAGGCAATGAACACCCAGAAGGCCTCCCTTCCTGCTTCCTCATCTAGGAAAACAAGATCTGTTCTCACCTTGGAAATAACCTTGGGATATATTTTGGATGTTTTTCCATTAATTGCTTTAAGGGTGGGAAACATCTTAAATGGAGGCAAAACTGCTGGGCCATGTCAGTCGCCCACCATCACTGCTTTAGAACCACTCTGCTTGGTTTAATAGGCAGAGAAAACTTTTAAAAGATATGGGACAGCAACACCCCACCCAAAGAGTTTACCAGCATTTATTTCAATGCCCAGAACAAGTTAAATACTGGGTCAATTAAATAAAGTCCCAGACACTGAATGCTGCTAAACTAGTTAAAAAGGCTTAGGTGAGGTTTTTAAACCAGATTTTCTCCAATCAAGAGAACCAGCATTTCGGCTAGGTTCACAATACAGTGCATCGCATGTGATTTGCACAGAAACCACACTCCCATGCAAATTACATGTAATTTTTGTGTGCACATTTTGTACGGCTCAAATTGCATTGCACCCACACCAAAAAAGGTACAGGACCCTTTTTTGGATCCGCACTAGAACCAGATCACATGGTTATTTGCACCTATGCAATCTGATCCTGCACATCAGACTGCATTTTGTGGACCGATTTCAGGGTGTTAACATACACAGTAGTTTACATGAACACCATGAGATTCTGATGCAGTGCAATATTTGCACAGAAAACTTCAAATTCCACACCAGTGCAAACCCATGCTCACAATAAGCCAGTGTACATGGTGCCTTAAAGCACCCTTCAGCCCCAGGTTGTAAATATTGACCACCAATCCTAATGAGAGTGCCAATTGCCCACTTTACAGAAGCTGCTAGCAGGCTTTCAAAAGCCTCAAATCATGCTGAAGCCTGCTAGCAGCTTGTGCAAGAGCAATCAGCACACCCATTAAGATCTGCAGTCAACATTTAAAACTGGAGTTAAAAGGTGCTTTAAAAGCTTGCTATTCACAGCAGGCTTAGTGCTTGCTTACATCAGCTGCATGCCAACGTTGGTCTACATTATATACAACACACTGATGTAAAATCAGAATACACACAGTGAACAGAGTACACAGTTAAGTCCTTGTGTTGGATCTACACAGATCAAACTTTAAAAAAAAAAAAAAAGGAATTTTGCTAAAACTGGAGCAGCTGCATAAAGTAGCCAATAAGCTTCCAGCTTTTTGAAAGCTGAAGCCATTTGGCTGCTATGCTCATCTGCCCCAGTTTTTGGTAACTTCTTCCCATATTGAGAGTTATGAAGCCTGAAAGTGTTGTGGCCAATCTTCTGCAAAAAAAAAAAAAAAAACCCCCACAAACTTGTTATTCCCAAATGGAGACACTACAAAAGGCAGGCTTCCTACAGTGGTATTTACTAAAGCGTGTGTAAAATTAGGACCACTTCTGCAAAGAAACTAACCAGCTCCTAACTTCAGCTTGTTTACTTCACCTTTGGCAGCAGTACCTGGAAGCCGATTGGTTTCTATGCAGAAGTGAGCCCGATTTCGCACTCCAGCTGTAGTAAATAAAGCCGAATGCACGATACTACAGACTGAGGGAAATAGGACAGGAGATCGTGATGTGATCAGTCATCTAATGAGGACGAGTGATGATCCAAGCCTGCATTACTCCATACACCCGGGGTAAACAAGTACACAGGCCAGGAGAGCTGAGTCATCAGGAGGAGAGCACAACAGGATGAACACGAAGCACGGAAGAACGGACACTGCCCGGGGGGTACAAACACACAGTAGATGGAGTACCCAGAGCCGTGTTCGCTCCCTCTCCATACACAGAACTAGGGCGGTCGCCATTCCTCACAAACAATACCCCACCCTGCTCCCACTGCTTACATAAACACATACATTCCTCAACACCCCTCCTCCATCCCATGGCCCGCTTCTCCGCCATCCTCCCCTTACATACCTCTCGAAGAGATCACCAGCTGGGAACTACAGACATTACCAGACACCGGCGTGCTTATAAAGGAAACTGTTGTCCCTGCCCACAAATACACACAGAGTCTTCCATTGGCCGACCCGACTTGTAATAGGGCGGGATCTACCCCGGGGGCTCATGTGACTGCCTAGCGCGTGACTCTGTGTGTTGTAGAGCGGAGTAGGCGGAGCCGCAGGCATGATGTGGGCGGTGTTGTGGTAATAATAGGTGAGGGGGGATGTGACCTCGTCCTGAGGGGGGTTGGGGGAAAGTATGGACAAAGCACTGTTCAAGGTTAGTCACACTTCATGATCATTTTTTAAATACAAAAAAAAAAAACAGGTTTTAAATTGCTATCAGCTATTCAGCAAATATTGCCTTTAGTTTTAAATTGCTGTTCATAAAATAGGATACTCAGGTGGGGATTATTAGACCATGTAACAAATCGCATGGCATGTCGCACCCTATTGTCCGCAGTCATATCGGTGCGGTTCTGACTTGGAGCCAATTTCTAAAGTAGCGCATGCATGACTTCAGGTGTGATTGCATAGACATCTGTGTCTTGCATGCCGCAATACCATCCGTCTTTGAAATCTTTGAAGTCGCAGGATTTCAAAGTCGGATCAGTGTGACTACAACTCTTCATGCGTTTATCATGTGCATTCCTCCGACAGTCACCTGGGAAAAATGGACGTGACTTATAAAAATGCATGATGCGTTTTTGGTGCCCTACCCTTCACTATTACGGAAGATGTGTTTTTTACGAAATGCACTGAAGATGCAGCAAGCAGGACTTTTCAAAACTGTCTAAAAAATGCAGCGCACAGTTATGAACAGTCGCAGAGGTTTTACTTCACATTATTGCAGGTTTGCGCAGACATGGAGGCCCATTCATTTGAATGGACTGCCGTGCCTGCGTTGGCCGCAGAGAAAAGGGGCATCTACCATTTTGGAAATGCAGCGGCTGGTGCTTTTGCAATGAACTGCGGTTTGAGATGCATAGGGGGTACCATTAAGAAGGAATGGCAGCCTTGTGCGTTTTTAAACAGCAGCGTGTTTTGACTGTGGGTGGTTAGGGGTGCAGGAATCACTGCAATTCCTACAGCCACCTGCGATAGTGTGAACCAGGCCACTACCCGGAACCACCCGTAATCTAAATGTGCTGCTGTTTAAAAACGCATGGGGCTGCCATTCATTCTTAAAGACACCCCCACGCATCTCAAACCACAGCATGGCTGTGGGAACCGCAGGGACATCACATGATGCAAAATCACCATGCAGTTTCCTGGCTGCTGTTTCCAAAAAGGTGTATGCATAGGGTTGCCACCTCATCCCTTTAAACACATATTACACAGTTTTTTTTTTTTTTTCCTTTTTTGTCCGCGGGAGTGCGAAAAACAAAAACCCGTAAGTGAACAAAAAACGTGCTAGTGCAAAATCAACACAAAAAAGTGCACTTAGGGGTGTGCGTTGTCCACCCCCCTGAAGGGGTAGGACCTCTACCCTGATCCCCGGGGAGCGAGGCTCCTGACAGGGACTAAGGTTTCCACATGGTCCGCCTAGCCAAAAGGCCTGGCGGACCCCTTTTCTTGTGGCTAGCCGAAGCCAGCCACCAAGTACTAGGTCAGGGGGCTCTCCCAAGAGAGACCCCCCAGGAACAGGGGAGGAAGGAACCAAAAGGCCACACATCCCCCCTAGACTTCAGGGTAGGCCTGAGGACCCGCACCCTACCACCTGTGAGAAAAAACACACACATACAGGTTATGAGTAGAGATGAGCGAATTATTCAAAAATTCGATTCGGCTGATTCGCCGAATTTGCGGAATAAATTCGATTCGATGCGAATTTATTCGCTGCGAACTTAACTTATTAAAAGGGTTTCTAGGCTTCAGAGAGCCTTTATATTAGTGCAGAACACTGTACCTTTAATTTAAATGCCCTTGGAGTCTGCTGGGGAAGAGAAATAATACTGTCAGTCAGTATGACATGCAGATGAGTGCCGTCGATCTTAGAATCACCGCACACTTCACTCATTTGGGCAGTCACGGGCCAAAACCAGAGTGTGGAGCCACAGTGTGGCGGTGGAGGCAGCAGCAATGGGAGGCCATACAGCACCCTATGACAAAATGGAACCCACCAGCAGTGTGAGGAGACCTGAAAGTGGCACATGGCAGAGTGTGGCGATGGAGACAGCAGCAATGGGAGGCCGTACAGGGACCCATGACACACTCTGGACCTGGCAGCAGCATGAGGAGGCGGTACAGGGGCCCATGACAGATTACGGGCCTGGCAGCAGCATGAGGAGTCAGTATGGGGGCCCATGGCAGAGTGGCGAAGCGTAAGCAGCTTAAATTGAAGGCCATACAGAGGCCTATGTTAAAAAGTCCCCCCAGCAGCAGTGTGGGGAGACGACTATCAAGAGTCCAATGGCAGAGTGGCGGAGCGGAAGCAGCTTCAATTGAAGGCCAATAGTGGTTGTGAAGCAGAAAGTCAGTTTATTGTACACAATCGGTCAATTGCAGCTTGCCGTTGGCTGGAAACTGTACGTTTGTGTCACTGGAATGCACTAATCACCCAAAAAATATTACCGCCGCCCGGCGTGTAAATGGATTTAACTCTTTGTACGTACAATAGTGGTTGTGAAGCAGAAAGTCAGTTTATTTTGCACAATCGGCAAACTGCAGCACCAACTGTGCACGACAGCCACCAAAAAAAAAAAAGGGTGTATGTCACTTTAAATTTTCGATTCTTTGATAGCTGTGGCCCTA